AAAAAAAAAAAAAAAAAAAAAAAAAAAAAAAAAAAGTGAAATGCAACCAGTGTAGAACTTTTATGTGTAATGTGGAATTTTGCATACGTAAACGTGGCCTTGCCTGAAGGACTTCAGTGTTCTAACACTGAATAGAGAAGAGATGGGACTTTAAACACAGTCATTTCCCCTTATTTATGGTTTTGCTTTCCATGGTTTCAGTTACCTACAGGCAACTGTAGTCCAAATATATTATGAGAAATTCCAGAAATGAACACTTCATAAGATTTATTTATTTATTTATTTATTTATTTATTTATTTATTTATTTATTTATTTATGTTTGTTGAGACAGGATCTCACTATGTAGTTCAGGCTGGCCTTGAACTCACTGTATAGCTCAGGCTGGCCTTGAACTTGTGGTGATCCTACTGCTTCAGCCTCCCATATGCCAGCATTACAGGTATGTAATCCCATGCTCGGCCTTAAAATTTAAATACTTATTATAGCATATTGTTGACTGTTTATCATTGGTTATTGGTAACTTCCTACTGTGCCTGATTAATAAGTGAGACTTAACTGTAGGATATGTATGTAGGAAAGAATATCATAACCATATAGTTTGGTGCTCTCTGTGGTTTAGTTATTCACTGAGAGCCTCAGAACATGCCCCCCACCCAGGATAAGGGAGGACATCAAAACCTTCCTCAACTGTGTCTAAGGGATTCAGACTCTGTCAACACTTTTCTCAAGAAATTATCATCATAATAGTTCAGTTTAAAGGAACTCTTTAAGTTGACCTATAAATACTACAAAACTCTACAATTTAAGAACTTTATATGAAATAATAAGACCTACCTACAAAACAATTTATTTTTACCAAAAAAAGACAATTGAAGGAGAGATATGAAAATAGAACATTGCAGGAATTTGACGAATACACTTGCAGATATTCTTGTACCTAAGAAAGATTCTGGTTTAAAGAGTAATCAGAACCACCAAGGAAGAGCCTTAGAACTTACCTTTCCTTGAACCAAACTCTGAAGGTTCTGACTTAGTAGGTTTGTAGTGGAGCGGTAGACACCATGTATCTAACATTGTTCTCATACAATTTCAACTTACAGGCAGTTGTGAGCATCACTGGCACCAAAATGGCCAGTTTTCTGGAATTTCCTATTCCTTTAACAGGTATAGGCTACATTAGCCAAAAATGGTATTTTTGTTTGGTGAAGGATCCACATCTCTCTCGAAAGGTAATGACTCTTTTTTCCCCCTCCTTTGTTCAGATACAGCGAGGCAGACCCTCCCCATAATAAAGGCTTGTTATGGTTTTGATCCGGTCCTGGTCTTTGGCTCTTTTTTACCTGACATATCTGGTGCCAAGACCTGGGAGGAAGGCAGTCGATTAAGCGGCGATACCCCGTGGGCTGAGGTCAATTGGCCTTTCAGCTCCTCCTCCGGATAACATCTGCTGAGCCAGTACCTCCTTGGGGCTTTCTACCTATGTCATTGCTGATGACTCACATCCACACCGGATACTGATTTCAGGGTGAGTAGGTAGCTAGCTTCCTTCTACCTGGGTCCTCTGTCTGAGTCTCATTCTCTCCCATTGGGGACCTCTCAGAAAATCCAAGTGCTTGGTCGGAGAGACCCCTCAGGCCTCTAGGCCCAGGACTGCACCCCTGGGGGACTCCCCATCAACCGGAGTCCTCTCTTTCTCCCCTTCCAGGGACTGGCTCAGGGAGTGTCAAAAGAGACAAAGACGTTCCTCTCTTTTGCCCTCCTCCTAGGGAGCTACCTCCTCCTCACCCACCCTAACATGGGCACCCAACAGTACAAACCCCCTTCCTCAAAGCCTCTTGGCTGCCTCCTGGCACAACTTTGTTCCCTTGGATTGTTGGGACCCAACTTTAAGTGAAAATGACTCATTTTTTATTGCAATCAAGTTTGGCCTCAGTACAAATTAGACAATGAATCTCAATGGCTGGAAAATGGAGCTCTCTATTTTAACACATTGCACGACTTGCACAACTTTTGTCAATGCAATGGCAAATGTTCAGAAATCCCCTACATACAAACCTTTTCCCTCTGTTCTTGCCCCTCTCTCTGTCAAAACTGTTCATCCTCTCAGGTGCTTATAGCCCAGGCCTCATCATCCCCTCCTTACCCTACTTTTCCTGATTCTGATGTGTTTGATCTGGCCACACTCTGCACTCACACCTCTTCTTCCTTACAATCCCATTGGTTCTTCTTCTGCCTCCTTCGGTG